GCTGGTGTTAGTCTCTCTCCATACCCTTTGCTGGGTAGTCCCTGCTGTTTGCAGTGGCAAGAAGTTGCTGATCTCCACAGTATGTTACTCTTGATAGCATGAGAGTGGTTTAACCTACGTCTTTGTTTCTTGAAGAGGAAACAGCATTTGGTATGTGTGTCCGTTTCCTCTCGGTCTCTTTTGTTCTCATGAAGGCCAAGTTGACCCAGACATGTTGGTTTTGTCTCTGAAGGCAGCGGCTTCACAGAAAGATCAGGCCTTGATGTGTGCCTGCACTTTGCTGGGACGCTTGTGGCAGTTGGCAAGGCCAGCAGAAGTCTTCTCTGTTCTCCTTTGTCTCAAACGCCTGGCAAAGCAGGAGGGCAGTTTGCACTGCATGGATCTCTGCTCGCTGCTCTCCCTGAGCGCATCTCATTTCTTATTCCAGATCACAGACTGCTCCTGAAGTCAGCTCTAACCCCAAAGCTAAAAGCTGCTTCTGCATAACAAGATGTGCTGTCACCAACCCTCTGGGAAAGATACAGTTTCTTACTGATTGCGACGGAAGACAGTCATCTTCCTAACTGGCTCTCCCAGGCCTCGGACAGGGGAAGGTGGTATCTAAGGGGCTATACTTCGCCGGCCACTCCTGGGCAGGTGGTGGGAAGCTCATCATGCTTTTGACTAACTGGTATGCCACACAGGCTCTTGCTGAGGCAGGCAATACGTCCTTCCCAAGCCGTTGTCTGCAGGCACCGTGTGTGCAGAGCAGGCATGGAAAATGGGATACAGGTGCATTGGGGAAGGCCATGGGGGTCCTGAGGGTTTCCCATCTTTTTATTTCTGCTCTTTCGTGCGTCCTTGCAGTAACTGGAGTAAAGCTCTCCATTTGTCTGGAACTGCCATTCTCTTGAGGGATGTCCTGGAGAAGGGGAGAAGAGGTGTGAGGGGAACTCAGCCTAAATCGCTGTTCTTAGAGCCCAGCTAATGGAGAACTCATGGACCATGAATAGCAAAAGAGAGCAAATTAACAGGCAGGGTGCAAGATTAAATCTACTCCAAAACCAGGGCCTCACACGGCTTAACAGGCGTTCAGAAATACATAACTATGCAGGACTGAAAGGCCTCTGAAAAGTACGTCTCTGTTGGCGTGCTAGACCTGCTCAGTTCGTCCAGGTGACCCAGCCCCAGGCTGCTTCTCTGGGCACTCTCAGTGCCAGGGCAGAAGGAAAACAGGGTCGATGTTCCCAGTCTAAGAGCAAAGACGCCTCCTGACAGGTTTGGTTGCAGGACAGTAGGACCTGGATCAGATGGAGAAGCTCCTGATGGATGCCTCATCTTTCCTCCTTCCCCACTACAGAGACTCCAGACACCTCAGAGTCCACCTGGGCCACTGGTGCAGTCCTTCTCCCACTGCCCCTTCGTGATAAGAGGGGCAAAAACTGCATTGTGCATAAATCTCATTGCTACTAGATGCAGGGGGTAAGTACAAAGTAGGGGGGGTGCAGCACCGAGGTGGAGGGAAGGATTGAAGGGAGTTAGTACAAGGAAGATCACCATTTTTCAGGTGATGGTGAGAAGATGAGAGGGACTGATGACAGGAGGAGGTGAGGAATGGGTGAGCAAGAAGGGAGACGTGGAGGGAATTTGTTTCTTATGACAGGCTCTGAATCAGAGGATGAACACGATGGAGTTTGTCCTAGGGAAGAGCATGGAAAGGGAAGTGGATGAACGTGGGTTTTGGGGTGTGGTGGTGGTTCACGCCTGGTTGGTGCTCTGCTTCCATAGTAGTGATGATTGCTAGGGGTTTCCATGTAGCTAGATCAATGTGCCCAATGGATGGTCCAAGCACCAGATCAGCTCCCTCCTTACCACCCCTCACGTCCCAGATGTCCCCCAGGCTTTTGTAGTGATCCCCGTCGTGGGGCTGGGTCTCCCCATGGTGGAGGTGGGATCTGGCCCTACACGCAGCCCTGCGCCCCGCATGGCTTGATGTTCCCCATGCCCAAGGAACATGGCCCGGCTGAGAGGAGAGGCCACAGGCACATCCTCTCCTCCCTTTTCCCTTTGCTCATCTCGTTATCCCACACTTTCTTTTCCATCCTTCCCTTAGCTTTCTTTCTTGCCCCTAGATAGAGCTCTCCACAACTCTCACCGAGACCTTCGTTAAACATCCACGCTCATATTGGCCAGGAGGGCAGAGGGGGTGACTCTGCCCCCGCAGCCCCCCTGGCTGGGAGAGAAGTGCATGTCTTCCACCCCTCTCTGTCCCCTTGTGTTTTTGTGTATGGAAAATCTTAATCCACTTCTTTTCCTCTGGGTTCCCTCATTGGCTCTTGTCCCTGTGTGTGGGTCATTTCTGTGTCTCCATTGCAAAGTCATCCTTGTAAAAACAACAGCGTGAGTGGGAATGTGGAGAAGGCTGGAGAGTGCCACAGAGCTGCTGGGACAGATAGCAGGGCCCAAGGCTGCTTCTCCACGAGCCGAAGGGTCCTTTGGCAACCCAGAACTGTCACTGCAGCCCGTGGTCCTGTGCACAGTGCTGGGCTCTGGAGAACACTTTTGTTCTTTATCATTTCATTGTCTGTAATTGGTTTCCTACTGAATTTGTTTGCTTGGTTTGTTTTGCAGTGTGTTTCTGGGAATATTCTGCATCTCTGTATTTTAATTACAGTAAAATTTGAGGATAAAATCCTTGGTTACGCTGGCTTTTGTTTCCAGTGGAGGGAAACAAGGAGAGGAAGCGCAGTTGAAGGAAGATTTTACAGATTCCTTGGGAAATCAGACCTCTTCCCTAAGGGCGCTGCATGAGGCATCAAGCAGGGCTGAACCTCTGTCCCTGCTTAAACTAGGACATGGCTTTCAACCACGATTCAGAAGCCATTTTGCTGCAGGCGCGTTCCCTGATTGCAATGGTAAGAACAGTTTGGATAAGACTTCTAAACTCAGTCTCTTGTGTTGGTTTAAAGACCCGTGCGTGAGAGGACTTTCAGCAGCAGGCCTAGCCCCGAAAATGGGATCTTGGCAGCTGAAGACAGGAGATTGTGCCTCAACAGCCACTGTTCCTTCATGCAGGTTTGCACAGCCACTTTTCCCAGCTGAGGAAGCGCCTCATTCCCCTCACAGCAGCCTGCCCCTTCCGCAGGAGAAGGCAATTTGACACTCCTCCCCAGGGCTGCAGGGAGCCCTGCAGGGCAACCAGACCCTCTGCGTTTGCTTGCCGGCTGGCAGGTAGCGTGGGCTCTGGGGAGGGCACAGCTGGCCACCCTGGCCACCTCACCCACTCCATGGGCAACGCTCCCAGGACAGACAGCTCTCATGCAGGGAGGACTGCAACCCGATGGCCGGGCTGTGCTGGATCGGGCCCCAGACAGGGTGTCCCTTTTACTGCGTCGAGGCCAGGAGCCAACAGCTCAGCATTTGCGAAGTGCTGACAAAAGGATTAATTTAGTAACTAATAACAGGGCAATCAAGCCATTTATTTAGTTGATGTTTTGCTGCCAGCTGCTCAGAAAGAGCAGCACAGAGCACTGATGAGGCTCGCTGTGGCCACCTCTGCTGCCTGCCCCGTTCCTCCGTCGGCACAGCCAGGGCAGCACAGCTTGGAGGCATTGAGCCGGTGGCAGGAGCAGATTTGGCGGCAGAGGGGACAGGGTGAAGATGCTTGTTGCTCCTGCGCCTGAGTGAAAGTGCCTGAGGTGGGAGGGGTTTTCCTAGGAGTTGCCCCCATGCCCGCTGTGGTGAGGCAGACGAAGAGCCCATCCCACAGCACGTGCCACGCTGTTGCCCTGTTCCTCCTCCTGGGGCTGGAGCCAGCCATGTCGCCTTGCAGAAAGCACAGGTGAATTACAGGTGCTCTAGCTGCAAGCCCTGAGGAGAGGTCGTGGGGTACATCAGCCCTGCTCACCTTTGCTGCAGCCCAGCTGGAGCAGGTTTGCCATGTTGAGCCAGATTGCAAAAACACCACTAGTGAGCTGCTCTTCCAGAGGTCTTTAAGGGGTAAGAAAGATGATAGAAAAATCCCATGGAGTTACGGCTTTCCCCTGCCTTACCTAAGCCATGGGTGTGCAGGCACCATGTCCTGGATCTCCACAGGCAGCTGCAGCACTCAGTCTCACCCTCTCCCAAGTAAGAGCTCAGGCTGGAAGCTGGTGGGCAGCACACCTCAGAAGAGACCTTTGGAGAGGAGACCTGCCCAGGTAGTGGGTTGAGGGTGGCTCAAACACACCCATGCTAGGAGCAGGTCCTGCACCACGAGTGTGCAGCCATGGGTGGATGTGACCAGCTGTGGTCCCATTTCTCTCTGTGTGTCCCCATTCTGCCTGATTCCAGAAGCAACAGAGATGGGAAACTGCTGGGGCATTGCTTTCCTCTGGCCCCTGGGGACTGGCCGCAGTGGCTTCCCATCTGCTGCTGCCCGTGATCTACAGGACATGCCTCAAGAGCTGGGCTGTTTGGAGGACTCTGTTCTAGCTGGGTCGAAGGAGCTGATCAGCATCAGGCAGAGATGGAACAGACCAGCAACTCCTTGTGTCAGGCTCTTGGCGTGCTGCCGCAGTGCTGCATTGCTCCCACCCTGCGTGCCCGGTGTCCCCATCCAGCAGCTCGCTGCCCCGTGTGGCAGGGGCTCGCTCGCTCTGGCTGCCTGTGAGGTGCCTTCCTTGCTGGTCCTCCAGGGCAGGGCACAGCGACACGGGCATCAACAGCCACAGACGTGGGGTGACGGGAGGCTGAAGGCCAGTGGGAGGGACGAGGGGCAGCCTGATGGGCCAGGCTCACCACACCGGTGCTGAGCACTCCGCAGCCGGGCACTTTGGCACGTTTTCACTTTTGGCTTTACTTGCGTTTTAACACACTTCAGATGCGAACATGCCCACGTGCCTATGGAGGTGACTGCAGTCCCCGGCCACCTCGGGGGTCCGTGGTGCCAGCTCCCTCCAGCCTTGTCCCTACCTGTGCCCAGACCAGGCAACGCTGCTTGTTGGTGCATCCACCCCAGTTTAGTCATTGAGGTCTTTCAGTTGAAGTCCACCCCTGGGTCAGTTTTATTGCACTTTTATTTACAGAAAACACAGAAATAAAGCATTAAATGTGTTGGGCTTTTACCAAACCACCCAACCACCTTTTTTTTTCCCTTTTTTTTTTTTTTTTGTGGGTTTTTGGCACAAAGAAATATCACAGGCATTACCAAACAGCCATCTGACTGACTGCCCAGCCCAATAACAGGACTTAAACAAACAGACATGTCGCACCGAGATCGAAAACAAGGAGGTTGTCCCACGTTCAGCTTCTGGTCTAACCTGCTCATCAGGGACAAGGGGAGTTACTCTGGAGGGGACAACACCATTCATAAATTATATTTATATTTACCTCTTACATTGTAAAAGTAAACAGTGCAAAGTACAGTACCCCAGGTACCTTTCGGTTTGGAAAGCTTGAAGGTTGCTTTATACATTTTGTATGTTTTGTAAACATTGTTACCCATCCACAGTTCTAGCTCTTGCTTGGAGAGACCCTACTCCTCTTGCGTCCGAAAAGTGTTGAGGGGGAGCAATCGCTTTCCCCGGACTCTGTTGAGATTCCTGCTCAAGGTTTAGTGCAAATTTTGGAGAGAAAAAGATGAGAGAGAGAAAGGGTGGGGGGGGAACAAACCAAAAGAAAATAAAATAAGGCAACAGTTAGAAACAGTCCATATCAAAACTGGCCCCTCCTGGGGCTTGCTTAGGAGAAGGGCAGGAAGTCTCTGTCCTCCACCAGGCTGATGGAGAGGTTCTTCAGCTCCTCCTCGGAGCTGGCGGTTTTGTAGCCGAGCTGCGCCAGCACCTGCTGGCAGAAAACACGCCGGGGGGCCCGCCCGCCCCCGCCACTTCTCCGCCGTCGCCGCCGAGTTGCGCACCGTCCCGTACTTGTGCTTGGAGGAGGACCTGTCTCCTCGGGTGTTGTTCTGTATCCAGCGCTCGACGTTGCTGTCCATGGGGATGCCCAGGAAATCGTAGATCTCCTCGGTCTTTTTCATGGGGTTCCTGGCCAGGTCTTCGTACCGCACCAGCATGTACTTGCCCTTGAGCCATGGTGGCCGGTTGAGGCCGGTGGACACAGAGTTCCAGAAGTCCTCACACACCGTGGTGAGCTGGGTCACATCCAGGTTGTACGGCTTCCTGCCAGTGCCGTCCCAGATCCTCCACAGCCGATAGGTGTCCCGGAAAGTCTCGCTCCGGGATGCCAGGATCCCCCGGGGATCCCTCACCAGCTGGATGACCTTCAAGTTCAGTCGCGGGTCCTCCACCAGGGCCCGCAGGTCGCTGACCTCAGGCACCCGCACGGTTTTGATGGCCACGTGCCCGTGCTCTCTGCAGGACTCGGTGGCCAGCGTCAGGTTCAAGGTACCGCACTTCTTCACACAGTCTCCCTCCTCCAGGTGGAGATCGACAGCTCCCAGGGACTCACAGACGGGCGGCGAGCACAGGGCCTTGCTGGCTCCCCTGCGGAAGAGGCGGTCGGTGGTGTGGTTGACGGGCTGGGGTTTGATGTAGTTCTCCAGGAAGTAGAGGTCACAGTCGTACAGGCTCCTCCGCCGAACTCGGGTCCCCGCCTGTCTGTCGTACTCTTGCTCTGGGTCAGCTTTGGGATCAGGGTGTACTGGACATGGTAGAGGGGCTCAAATAAATAGAAGACATCAAAGTGCTGGTTGAAGAGCTGCCCAACAAATGAGGAGCCGCTGCGGGTGGTGGCGAGGATGAGGACGTGTGTCTTCCTGGAGAGGTTATACGCGAAAGTGGGGCTTTCGTCGCACAGCCTGTCGGCCACATCGGCATCCTGGCTCAGGCTGCAGTTCACGGGATTAGGGATGGGGCAGCTGTGGAAGGACTTGGCGGTGAAGGTCCGGATTGCTGTGTACTGGATCGCAATGGATGCCAAGGCTAGTAGGAGGACAGCCTTCCAGGAACATTGCATGGCTGGTCACCTTCATGGAGCTTCTTCACAGGTCGTCTCGGTGTCTGCAACCCAACAGAGAAGTCACAGGTTGAGCAGGATTGCCAAGGAGGACCCAAGCATCCTACAGCTGGGGGTACCAGCAAACACCCTCCCAATGCTTGTACATCAGCTATACCCACATGGACCCCGATCATGCACTACAGAGCCCCATTTCAGAGGAGAGGAGAGGAGGACCAGGCAGAGGCTGGCAAGCCTGCAGAGACACTTCCAGCCAGGACTTCAGCCCCAGGGACTGCTTACTTCCAGGCTGGGAGTGTATGCAAATCCTGTGCCTCAGCTCACCCTTTGCCCTGCAGCCCAGGCAGGGGGATGTCAGAGCCTGGTGGCCACACTGTCTGTGTGTCTCCATCCAGCTGCTGCACACCTTCCTCCTCAGTTGCCTTGTGAGTCACTTGTCACCTCATCAACCAACACCTTCGACACCCAGTGCAGGGAAAGTGCAGGGGCTGGTGCCAAGCACCACCTGGAAAGGCTCATCTCCATCCTTCCTGGCCAGCTGGCAGGACAAGGCATGGGATAAGGCAATGCTCGGGAGAGGGGGTGACAGCTCTCCTGGAGCTGCAAACCTCTTTGCTTAGAGGTCCACCAGCCAGGCCAGCTCAGTCCGTCATCCTCTGGGGATGAGCAGCAGCTTGAGCTCTGCTGCTGGAGCCAGAGCTGTGTCCTAGCTGCCAGCCCCGTGTGGCCCCAGCACCAAGCTCATGGTTCTGGCCAGAGCCTGCTCAGCTCTGGGATTCAGACTGCCCTGCTATTCTGAGCACCAGAGGGGAGAAAAACACCATTACAAAGGAGGAAGCATGAGAGATCACATCTCCTCTGGCAACAGTGCAGCAGCAGGAGCCCAGGGCACCAGAGATGGGTGCAGGGAAGTGCAGGGCTGCAGCTGCACAGGGCAGCTTTAGTCTAGTGATGCTTAACCCCTGCCTTGCTGCTGCCCACGTGCAGGCAAGGGTAGGGGAAGCTGAGCAGGATGCTCAGGTGGGATGCTCAGGGAGAGCTAGGTGAGGAGCACCTCTGCCATGCCTGGGAGCTGTGGCATTGCTGGGAGGGGATGTAACCAGGGTAGCACTTCAGTATCTTCCCCCCTGCTCACTAACCAAATAACCTTCACAGGCTCTGCCCTGCTGCTCTCTGACACACAGGGCTTCACATCCACATGTCATCGCTCCCCAAGGCCAGCAGGGAGGGGGGCAGAGGAGTAACAGTCTCATCCCAGAAACCCCCAACAAGCCAAAACCTCTGTGCAGGTAGGGGAGACACCCCAGTACTAGCATTAGCTTTGAAGCTCTACTGCACCCACTTTCCCTTGCTCATCTTCCTTCCATGTTCCCCCCTCCCCGTACAGTACATGCCCCTGCAGCCACCTGCCCCTGCCCACCCTCCTCAGGCAAAACCAAGGGGACAGACCCAAATATCTCTGTTCCCTGCCCAGCAGAGCCCTTCCTTCCCACAGCATCATCACCCCTGTTGCTTCCTCTTCCTCACTCCTCTCGCGCGCCCTGCGTGTCCCCAGGGAGGGCACCGAGCCGGCCCCAAGCTGGTGGTGAGCTCTTGGCCCCCTGCTCGCCCCTAGCATTCCAGCCACCACGGGTGGGACTGTTCATTGCTTGGCCAAGGTCTCCGAGGGAGGCTGACGGGTCAGCAACGGATTCAGTACACAGGTCCTGCTCAAGCCCAGAGCACACCGAAATCCCTGAGGGGCTTGGGATGGTGCAACGCTCCCAGTGCGTATTCCCCGCAGAGCCCATGGCAGCTGGCACAGCATATTGTTCCCATCTCCTCAACATGCCCCATTGTCCAAAAAGACCCTGGCACCCAGTGAATGACACCAAGAGGGCTGCTCAGAACTGCAGGTGAGACAAAAACCTCTTTCTTTTTTTTTAATTATTATTTTATTATTTACCAGTTGCCTCAGCAGCTCACCCCAGGTGCAGGCAGATTACAGGAGGTACCAGTTCCAGAGGCCTCTCCCTGGGAGTGGAGGTTTCTGCACCCCACAATTCAGACCAGGACCCCAGCGTGGGGCTCTGATGCAGCTGCTGCAAGTGACAACCCACCAGCCATCGTCGTGTCTATGTACCAAGAGTGGTGCTTCAGACCCATACCCATGCTTTGAAGAAGGGATGCTTTCTCTTGGGCTGCTTCCCATCATGGATGTGGCATGTGGGACCAAAGTCGCAGACACTTGGCTATTGCTGCTCCTGGTTTGAGGTTACCTACCCTGCAAAGGGGAGACCTGGCCCCAGTGTCCAAATGGGATATTGTATCCCTTGGATAAAGTGTTTTTCCAGGTCTGCTAAGTCAGGGCAAGACAGGAGGGTCCCTGCTGGCATCTCCTGGCCCCAGGTGCCTTGGGTATGCTGCTCAGGTGGAAGCAGCAGTGGGAACACTTTCCTGCTCTCTAGTGATGGCCAGCCACACTGCATCCTCCACACACAACTTCAACTTCTACTCCTTGCTGCACTGCTGAGGGATGCCAGAGCAGGTGTGACTCGGATTGTGCCGGGATGTGGCAGAAACCCACTGCTGGCTCCCCTGCAAAAAGCAATCAAAGCCCGAGTGCCTCCTTGGTCTCAATTCCTGCCAGATCACTGGCTGCGAGCGTTTCAGGTTCTCCACCCACTCGGACCTGCTCCCCTTCACAATACACCAAGCTGCAGAGGAGAAGCAGCGGGGCATTGATTCGCCTCCTCGGCAGAGGAGATGCAAAACTATGGCCCAGCTTCGGCCTCGGCTGCCCCTCGTGTGTGCCCTGCCCATCTGCGGAGCCGCAGCCAGGGAGGGGCAGGTTTTGGGAGAAGGCTTCCCTCCCTAATGTCTCATCTGTGGCGTTTAAAGCCAGCCGGAGCCTCCTCTCAGCCCCCTGCCGGCTCTCCCACCCCCTCCCATGGCTGCCTGTCCCCCAGGGTTCCCGCTCAGCCCAGCCCTGGGCTCCAGAGGCAGCAGCAACTGGCAGCCAGCTGTTCTCAGGGCGCTCCTGGGCAGCGCAAGCACATGGCACCTGGGATCTGCCGGCACAGCCAAGGACGGCTTCCGCTCACCCAGGCCAGTGTGAAACACCTGCCGAGGAGGAGCTGCGCTGGCTCCGCACGGCTTGGAGCAGCGGCTGCAACCAACACGCTGCAGGAGGATGTCTCCTACACACACACGCAGCAGGATGGCCACTTGCTCTCCCATCCCTGCCCTGGGAGACCACCTTCTTAAATTGGCCAGTTCCCCTTCAGGCACCGATACTGACGCCAGCAGCGTGAGGGCGGTGCCTCTGTCAGGCTGTATGTGAGGGTCCTGTGTGAGGCACAGACTCTTTGGGCTACTCAGCCCTAGACCATGGGATGCTGTGACCATGGCAGCCATCCGAAATGCTGGCCTCACAGATGTTTCCATGCTATAAAGTGTTCCTAGCTGAAATCTCCCTCTGCTCTGTCTCCAGCTCAGCTCCACCAAAGCCGATGAGCAATTGCAGCCCGAGGGTGGGAGCTGAGTCCGGTAGGTCCCTCTAGGCAGCTGGGGCTACGAGACAGAGAGCTTGGGTGAGGGTAGGTCACTCGTACCTTCCAGCCCCCAGCGCTGCTAGCACTGCAAGGGGCATGTGAGAAAGCACGTGGGCTCTTTTTTGCACTGTGCCAGGGTCACCGCTGCCCCTTGCCCGACCCTAACCCCACTCGGGTTCCAGCATGCCAGACTGCGCTCCGCTGCCTTGCCTGTATCTCTGTTGCACCAGGACCAGGCTGTCTACAAGGGATGCACGGCATCCGGCAGCCAGCTCTGAGCGCTGCAGGAGGCCGGCCAGCACCTGGCACAGGGACAGGAGCATTGTCTGTGGGAAGAGGAAAGTGCCGAGCCTTTCCTCTCCCCTGCCCCGCTCCCCTCAGCCTTGAGCCCGGAGGAGGGGAGAGGACGGGCGCAGGCAGCGCTGCTCCCCCACTGCACACACCCGTGAAACAGCAGTGGGTACATGGTCACCTGCCTTCCTCCTGCTCCTCCTCCCTTGACTCCCAGTGCTGCTCCAGGGAGGACGAGCAGGCTTCAAGCCAGCAAGACAGCCCAGGAGCGCCAGGGAGATGGGAGGCAATGAATTAATCCAAATGGCATCCGTGAGTCACCGGTGCGGGGAGCAGCGAGCGTGGCCGGCCAGCCGCAGCCGAGGCCCCGGGAGGAGATGCCGAGCAGTGGACTCCTACTTCGGGGACGGTATTCTCAGGTTTGATGGGAATGACCTGCTTTTAAGCCGCGCAGCAGGACCGTGGCGCCAGAGGCTGTGCTGGCAGCTGAGCTCGGGTGCTGCCAGGCAGGCTGGACTCAGTGCCGGAGGCTGCTGCAGGGATTGGTGTGGCTCACACATCTTCACTCATCCGAAAGCTGCCAGGCGCTATGCAGGGCAGTGCCCTGGACCTGCCGAAGCTTGTTCTCATAGGGGGCTTCCACAGCATCTCAAGGATGCTCCTTGCCTCGTGCCCCAAGCCTTCCCTGCAGGTTTTCTTGCTGCTCTCTAGAGGTGGCCGCATTTGGGCAACCTGGGGGTGATGGCAGCTTTAGGCAGGAGACCTTGCAGTAACTGCCACTGCTGTGTTTCCCAGGCTCCCTCACAGGGCAGTCAAAAAAACCTGCTCTTTTCAGCTGCCTTCCAGGCTGTCCCCCTCTCTCAACAGCTCCCCAGAAGTTGTGCCCTCGGCCCAGCTGGGCTTATCCCGGGTTTCTTCAGCACTGCCAGGGAAATCCCTCTGCGCTTCCCTGTGGCAGGGAGGAAGAGAAAAGGGAGCAGAAGAAGGTGCGAGGGTCCGTGCAACGCGGGTGCCTGCTCCAGCCCCGGTGCCAGAGCGATGGGCCAGAGGAGCACCTGCGTCCTGCGAGCCCCTACCGGGGCCTGCCTGGTCCAGGTCCAGCTGCCAGTACCCTCTACCCCCAAAACTGATTCCCGCCAGCAAGGCTGTTTCCATGGAAACGGCAGAGTGACTCAG